CCCAATATGTCGCTAAGCATGACCATGTATACATAGATGTACACCTATATGTACATGATTACATTGGATACATAAGTGCATATACGGATACAAAACATGAACACTAGATTTAGTTTCGGCCCCAGCTCCAGCTCTAGCTCAGCAATAGCTAAGAGATGCACGCCCCACAAGGTCGCGCGCCACGACGCCATGACAGAGCGACACCACAACCGCTCGAAAGCACGACCAGACGACACCCTTGCACCAATCTGCCATTAAAATGTACGACGATCCTGCGGCGCCACGACACCGCGACAGCCCGCCAGCCGCACGCCAGCAGGAGCAGCACGCTGTCTGAAAACGACACTTGTGTTATGTTGCCGAAGGGTGCTCTGAGAGTGTGCCACGTGCACTGCGAAACACTTTACATGCTAATCAGAGTGAGGGGGCCGAACGGTCATTCACTGTCCCTGGGTGCGTGGCTGAAGTGGGATTCTGCAGTGCGGATTCGTGTTGTTGTTGTTGTTGAACATTATTTATTCTAAAGAATAATTATTGTTGGGCCCCCTGGTGCGCGCCCCCCCTGCGCCGCCTAGGCCGCAGCTACATTTTCATCATTTTCGTGAGGAAGCCTCAGAAAAGAGGGTGTGTACAGGATCCGGTTGTTTTGTTGTAATCCGCTTTCCCTTGCAAAAAACAATAGAAAATGACATTTCTTGTTCTAATATAATCAAATTTCAAGAATCCCTTGCAAAAAATAAGGTAAAGTGGACATTCGCGCGCGCAAGACGAAATCCTTCCAAAACCTTAGTGTTCGCAGCGATTTTAACATAAAAACATCAAAAAACCAATGGTTTTTCAACAAAAAATTGTCAAAATCTCATCCCGTGCGCTCTTGCGGACTTTTTAAACATTTCTGTCAAACGGGCTTTTGCGAGCAACTTTTCGAACTTCTGCGACAACGGTTGCGCACCTGCCAGGGCCATCATCCCTGTCAAATAATACCATGCGGGACACATTCGTTTTTTCTTCGCGCGCGCACGCCGAAATCTCCAAAAACGAAGGCTAACAACTACTTGGGTGTGTACATGCGCCAGTGTAGTACCACGGTCGTCCGAAGGCCACGAAGTGAAGTGTCGAAACGTCATAGGGCGGGAAGCTGGTTGTGTTGGTGGCGAAAGTCGGGTGGATATTGGTAGAGCTTGCACTGCCCCCCCACAAAGTGGGGGTATTGGCTGGCGTCGCATGAAAACCCTGCACTGGTGAGAACACTGAGCGTTCGGGTAAAGTGATTGTTGTTGTTGTTGTTGTTGTTGTTGTTGTTGAACATTATTTATTCTAAAGAATAATTATTGTTGGGCCCCCTGGTGCGCGCCCCCCCTGCGCCGCCTAGGCCGCAGCTACATTTTCATCATTTTCGTGAGGAAGCCTCAGGTAATACGATGTCATCAAGATCCGGTTGTTTTGTTGTAATCCGTTTCCCTTGCAAAAAACACTATAAAATTACATTTCTTGTTCTAATATAATCAAATTTCAAGAATCCCTTGCAAAAAATAAGGTAAAGTGGACATTCGCGCGCGCAAGACGAAATCCTTCCAAAAGCTTAGTGTTCGGAGCGATTTTAACATAAAAACATAAAAAAAACCAATGGTTTTTCAACAAAAAAATGTCAAAATCTCATCCCGCGCGCTCTTGCGGATTCGTAGGAAACCCAACACTTTTTAAACAGTTCTGTCAAACGGGCTTTTGCGAGCAACTTTTTCGAACTTCTGCGACAACGGTTGCGCACCTGCCAGGGCCATCATCCCTGTCAAATAATACCAGGCGGGACACATTCGTTTTTTGCGCGCGCACGCCGAAATCTCCAAAAACCATTGGGTTCTTAAGAATTTTAGCACCGCGCATCATAAAATCACACGAATCGCACCGTAGGTCCTCGAAAAACACCTGCACGACTTTTCAAAATTTCCACCCGCGCCTGTCCAGCCTCAGGTATCGCCGCGGATTGGCGCCATCACGGACGGGACCCAGGAGGAGGAGCCTTCGCGTCTGTAGGCTGTATGCCGTTGGCCGCTCATGACAGTATGAGTGCCGTTCCGTATGCCGCATGCCCTTGGCCGCTCATGACAGTATGAGTGCGCTCTGGCAGTATGCTCCCTGTTCCCCCGCCGGCACTGTTCGCCGAGGCTGGGCGATAGAAAAAGAAAGTATGGCAGCATCGCGACAACCATCGGGACAACCATCGGGACAACCATCCGAACAACCATCGGGACAACCAGCGGGACAATCATGTGGACAACGATCGGGACAACCATAACCATCAGGACAACTATCGGGACAACCATGGGGACGACGATCGGGACAACCACGATCATCAGGACAACCATCGGGACAACCATCGAGACAACCATCGGGAAAACCATATCGTCTCTCTCTCTCTTTTGTATTCCCACATCCCTCAGGAATTTGCCCTAAAGATGTGATCAACCATCTTGTGCGTACGTACCATGATCATGTGTACCATGTACCCTACGGGTCATATGCAACTGATGCCTTTGCGTATTCCCACTTCGGCACAGGAATTTGATTAAAAAATGTGACGAACTCCTCTCTCTCTGTCTCTCTCTCTCTTTGTCTCTCTCTCTCCCGCTCTCTTCCTCTGTCTCGCCTTCTCTCTCTCTCAGTGTCTGTGCCATGTCTAGCACTGGTAACAAAGGTATTTGTGTATCCCCACATCCGCCCAGGAATTCCACAAATGTGACCAACTATCTTGCGAGTACGTATCATCTCATGTGTGTCGTGCACACTATCAAATGTAACAGCGTTGTGTATTCCCATCATCCCAGGAACTTGACCCAAAAATGTGACCAACTCCGCTCTCTCTGTCTCTCTCTCTCTGTCTGCTCTCTGTCTCTCTCTCTCTCTCTGTCTCTCTGTATTATGTATTGTATGCCACCATTGCACCATGCTGGGCACATGCGCGCCCCGAATGAGTGACCAAGTTCTGTGGGTGTGTACCCCACGCCAGTGTAGTAGCCACGGTCGTCCGCACGCCACGAAGTGAAGTGTCCCAACGTCATAGGGCGGGAAGCTGGGTTTGGGTGGTCGCGAAGAGTCGTTTGGATATTTGGTAGAGCTTGTAATGCCCCCCCCCACGAAGTGGGGGTATTGCCTGGTGTCGTATGAAAACCCTGGCACTGGGGAAAACACCACGCGTTCGGGTAAAATGATTGTTGTTGTGTTGTTTGTTGTCGTCGTCCCACCCGCAAACCGCCCCGCGACCCACCCACGACCCACCCCGCGACCCACCCGCGACCCACCCGCGACCCACCCGCGACCCACCCGCGACCCACCCCACGACCCACCCCGCGACCCACCCCGCGACCCACCCGCGACCCACCCGCGACCCACCCGCGACCCACCCGGCGACCCGCCCGCGACCCACCCCGCGACCCACCCGCGACCCACCCGCACACCCCGCGACCCACCCGCGACCCACCTTCGACCCAAACCACGTTCAAGGTACAAACCACCATTTTCGGCGCCTGCGGCGGGCTTTTTTGCATTCCTTCCAGGTGGAGAGCCCGCGACCCACCCCGCGACCAACTCGCGACCAACCCGCGACCCAAACCACGTCCAGGGTACAAACCACATTTTTCGGCGCCTGCGGCGGGCATCTTTTGCATTCGTTCTAGGTGGAGAGACCGCGGCCCACCCGCGACCACGTTCAGGGTACAAACCAAATTTTTCGGCGCCTGCGGCGGGCATCTTTGGCATTCGTTCCTGGTGGAGAACCCGCGGCCCGCCCGCGACCACGTTCAGGGTACAAACCAAATTTTTCGGCGCCTGCGACGGGCATCTTTGGCATTCGTTCCTGGTGGAGAACCCGCGGCCCGCCCGCGACCCAAACCACGTTCAATGTACAAAACAATTTTTTCAGCGCCTGCGGCGAACTGCCCTTGCAGGAGGAGGAGGAGGAGGAGGAGGAGGAGGAGGAAGAGGAGGAGGAGGAGGAGGAGGAGGAGGAGCAACATGCTTACGCAACGAATGATGTGTGGGTGGTCAAGGGTATGAGTCAACAAACAAAACTCTTTGTACATGTTCTCCACCTCCTTGGCATCGGTGACGCTACGCTTATGTTGCACCTTGATCACTACGTTTCATGCTGCCGGGTCACCGCCGGGTCCAGCAAACGCTCGTTCAGAGACGGGAAACCAGGCATCAGCAGATTCGGGATAGTCTTCCAAAGGAGGCCGCGGAACTTGTCCTCGATGAACTGGCACATGCTTGTTGTCAGAGGTTCCGCATGGTTCAAATCGTTCTTATCATCATACCTACCGGTGTGATCTCGCACTGCTTTATTTCGACCGTGCGCCCTGCTGGTGATTCTGCTGATGGTCGTGCTCGTGGTCCTGCTGGTGGTTGTGCTGGTGGTTGTGCTGGTGGTTGTGCTGGTGGTCGTGCTGGTGGAGGTGCTGGTGGTCGTGCTGGTGGAGGTGCTGGTGGCCGTGCTGGTGGCTGGTCGTGCTGGTGGTCGTGCTGGTGGTTGTGCTGGTCGTCGTGCTGAAGGATGTGCTGGTGGTCGTGCTGGTCGCTGGTAGTGGTTGTGCTGGTGGTTGTGCTGGTGGTCGTGCTGCTGGTTGTGCTGGTTATCGTGCTTGTTGTTGGTGGTGCTGGGTGGTCGTGCTGGTGGTCGTGCTGGTGGTCGTGCTGGTGGTCCTGCTGGTGGTCGTGCTGGTGGTCCTGCTGGTGATTGTGCTGGTGGTTGTGCTGGTGGTCGTGCTTGCGGAGGTGCTGGTGGTCGTGCTTGCGGAGGTGCTGGTGGGCGTGCTGGTGGCTGGTCGTGCTGGTGGTCGTGCTGGTGGTTGTGCTGGTGGTCGTGCTTGCGGAGGTGCTGGTGGCCGTGCTGGTGGCTGGTCGTGCTGGTGGTCGTGCTGGTGGTTGTGCAGGTCGTCGTGCTGGTGGTTCTGCTGGTGGTGGTGCTGGTGGTTGGTAGTGGTTGTGATGGTGGTTGTGCTGGTGGTGGTCGTGCTGCTAGTTGTGCTGGTTGTCGTGCTGGTGGTTGGTGGTGCTGGCTGGTCGTGATGGTGGTCGTGGTTGGTGGAGGTGCTGGTGGTCGTGTTGGTGGTCGTGCTGCTGGCCCGTGCCCCTCTCTCCTTGCCCCGGTGTTCCCTCCAAGCTCCCCGGCCCCCGCGCCTTCTCCACCGTCGTGCTCCCCCCGCCGTCCCCGAGCCCCCTTATTCCGACCGTGCGTCCCCTCTTTCCCCCCCGCTCTCCCCTGCGCCTCCCTCCTCTTGCCCCCGTCCTCCTCGCACCCTCCCCGCGCCCCCGCGCCCTTCTCCCCCGTGCTTCCCCCGCCGTCCCCGACCCCCCCTCTCCTTATTCCAACCGTGCACCTGCCCCCCTGCTCCTCCCATTCGCCCCGTTCCCTTCGCCCCGTGCTCCCCCCACGCTCCCCGAGCTTCCGCGCCTTCTCGCCCGCGCTCCACCCGCATTTCCCGAGCCCCCCTCCCCTTATTCCGACCGTGCGCCCCTCCTCTCCCGTTCCTCCCCTGCGCCCCTCTCCCCTTGTACCCGTGCTCCCCCCACGCTCCCCGGACTCCCGCGCCTGCTCCTCCGTGCTCCCGCCGCCCTCCCCGGGCCCCCCTCCCCTTATTCCGACCGTGCGCCCCCCTCCACCGCTCCTCCCCTGCACCCCCCTCCTCTTGCCTCCGTGCCCCCCGTCTGCCCGGATGCCCCTTTTCCTTATTCCGACCGTGCGCCCTCCCCCCGCTCCTCCCCTGCGCCCTTCTCCCGATGCGTCCGTGCTCCCCCCACGCCCCCCGAGCTCCCCCGCCCTGTCCCCCGTGCTCCCCCCGCCTTCCCCGGGCCCCCCTCCCCTTATTCCGACCGTGCGCCCCCCTCCACCGCTCCTCCCCTACACTTGTCTCCTCGTGCCCCCGTGCTCCCTCGCGCCCCCGCGCCTTCTCCTCCGTGCTCCCCCCGCCGCCCCCGAGCCCCCCCTCCCCTTATCATCATACCTACCGGTGTGATCTCGCACTGCTTTATTTCGACCGTGCGCCCTGCTGGCAGTTCTGCTGGTGGTCGTGCTCGTAGTCCTGCTGGTGGTTGTGCTGGTGGTTGTGCTGGTGGTTGTGCTGGTGGTCGTGCTGGTGGTTGTGCTGGTGGTCGTGCTGGTGGAGGTGCTGGCGGCCGTGCTGGTGGCTGGTCGTGCTGGTGGTCGTGCTGGTGGTTGTGCTGGTCGTCGTGCTGAAGGATGTGCTGGTGGTCGTGCTGGTCGCTGGTAGTGGTTGTGCTGGTGGTCGTGCTGCTGGTTGTGCTGGTTGTCGTGCTTGTGGTTGGTGGCGCTGGGTGGTCGTGCTGGTGGTCGTGCTGGTGGTCGTGCTGGTGGTCCTGCTGGTGGTCCTGCTGGTGGTCCTGCTGGTGGTTGCGCTGGTGGTTGTGCTGGTGGTCGTGCTTGCGGAGGTGCTGGTGGTCGTGCTTGCGGAGGTGCTGGTGGCCGTGCTGGTGGCTGGTCGTGCTGGTGGTCGTGCTGGTGGTTGTGCTGGTGGTCGTGCTTGCGGAGGTGCTGGTGGCCGTGCTGGTGGCTGGTCGTGCTGGTGGTCGTGCTGGTGGTTGTGCAGGTCGTTGTGCTGGTGGTTCTGCTGGTGGTGGTGCTGGTGGTTGGTAGTGGTTGTGCTGGTGGTTGTGCTGGTGGTGGTCGTGCTGCTAGTTGTGCTGGTTGTCGTGCTGGTGGTTGGTGGTGCTGGCTGGTCGTGCTGGTGGTCGTGGTTGGTGGAGGTGTTGGTGGTCGTGCTGGTCGTGCTGCTGGCCCGGTGCTGTTGGCTGGGCCTGCTGCTCTCCCTTGTGCCCCTCTCTCCTTGCCTCGGTGCCCCCCCCGCGCTCCCCGGCCCCCGCGCCTTCTCCTCCGTCGTGCTCCCCCCGCCGTCCCCGAGCCCCCCCCACTCCTTATTCCGACCGTGCGCCCCCTCTTTCCCCCCCGCTCTCCCCCGCGCCTCCCTCCTCTTGCCCCCGTCCCCCCCCGCGCCCCCGCGCCCTTCTCCCCCGTGTTTCCCCCGCCGTCCCCGACCCCCCCTCCCCTTATTCCAACTGCACCTGCCCCCCTGCCCCTCCCATTCGCCCCGCTCCCTTCGCCCCGTGCCCCCCCACGCCCCCCGAGCTTCCGCGCCTTCTCGCCCGCGCTCCACCCGCATTTCCCGAGCCCCCCTTCCCCTTATTCCGACCGTGCGCCCCTCCTCTCCCGCCCCTCCCCTGCGCCCCTCTCCACTTGTACCCGTGCTCCCCCCACGCTCCCCGGACCCCCGCGCCTGCTCCTCCGTGTTCCCGCCGCCCTCCCCGGGCCCCCCTCCCCTTATTAGGGCCCCTTGTTCCGACCGTGCGCCCCCCTCCACCGCCCCTCCCCTGCGCCCCCCTCCTCTTGCCTCCGTGCCCCCCGTCTGCCCCGATGCCCCTTAAGTTCTCCTTATTCCGACCGTGCGCCCTCCCTCCGCTCCTCCCCTGCGCCCTTCTCCCGATGCGTCC